CGCACCAAACACCACCGCCACCTGCGCGAGGCCCAGCGGGCACAGTGTCTGCATTCGCACTTTCGCCACGGGCGCTGCGGGGAGACCCACGGGGCCGAGAGTAGCGGCCTTGCCTCGGCCGACGCCCTATAAGGCTCGGGAGTTGCGGCCCAGGAAGCCTGGAGATTGGCCGCATCCCCCGGAGAGTGAGTTTCACCACCACTATCCAGATGTTCCGGCCTGGGGTTCTTGACGAATCGGCGCGGACGAAAGCTGCGACTAGTCCTTGAGGAAAAGGGGGCGGGGCAGAGGGAAGAGGCTAGCCAGAGCTGGGGCGGCTTGAGTGGCGCGTTGAACAGACGCAGATTCGTCAGGCGGGCGGAGCGAATCGGTAGACAGGATGCGCGCTCCTTTGCCCCTCTTCCCTGTCCCTTCCTTGCGCAGCCAAAGGTCTAAGAGGCTGCAGATTCGCCACTGTTCTTGGCTTCAGCCGCAGCCTCCCTTCATCCTCCTCGGTGGAGTCAAGAAAATAACGCCCGGTTAGCCCAGCCCTGTTGGCAGAGTCGGCAACTTTTTCTTGATTTTTCTTGCTAGCGCAACTCAGAGGACAGCCGTCTTCTGACTTTGGGAGAAGATGGCTACAGCCCAGAGCTCTTCTCAGAGTCCGATGAGAATTTTCAGCCGAGTATAGAGGGACCCGAGTATTCGGAGGATGAGCCGGCCTAGCGAGCGAATCTGCAGGTCCTGTTGTGGGCGGGGCCAAGGAGCTGCGCGCAGAGGGGCGTGGCCAAAGCGTGCGGAGTCCGGAGACGCCGGGCGCCTCCTGTAGGACCCACCGAAACCGGGACGGGATGGGAGCGGCTGCCGGGAGATGGAAAAACACCACCGGGACAGTGACGCAGGCATTTTGCCCGGCCCCGCACCTCACGCAGAGTGTTTCCTTCCCGTTATCCCTCTTGGGCTTCTAGTTATTTGAGATGCCCATTCGACAGACGGGGAGACTGAGGCCTGCAGATGGTGCCCCATTTTGTCATACTCAGCCCATCATTGGAGGTTAAATCCGGGACTGTCTCAGGGTTCTCTGAGGAGCCTGGTGGGGCTTAAAGGCCCTTGAGTGGGCCCCGTCAGATATAAGAAGCCAGATCCTACAGGAACTGGAGTGGGCTGGTTTGTTTTCCAAGCATCTTGACCCCGGTGCTCGCTACTTCAGCTGGGGCGCCCGATGCTTACGGGATCCCGCCGCACGAGGGCAGCACCAGCCCAGGCCTGGACCTGGAACCCCCGGGGCTGAGGTCGCTCGAAGGCTGGGCGCTTTTTTTCCTGGTGTCTGGGGGAGGCACTCCCATGAGGCTCCTCTGCCGGAGTTGCGGATGCCCTAGGCTCCGTACATCTGTACATCATTCCCTCTCTTTATGACCTTGGGCAAGCCATTGACCTCTCTAAGAATCTGAAACAGTGTCGAACAGTGCAGGGAAGGCCTTGGAGCCTGGTTTATGCAAATTTACCATTTTAAGCAGTAGGAGACTTGTCTAAGGTCTCACACAAGAATACAAGGGGTTTGGGACCTTTTAAAATGTTAAGGGACATGAGGCTGAAACAGTTCATTTACATGGAGGCATAGGTGTTGAGATCAGATTCTTCTGTCCACTTTCCTCAAAGAGAAAGAGATTCCCATATGAGGGTAAAAACAATCCAAGTTCTATTTCACTGACTAGCTGTGTAGCTTTGGGCAAATCTTCAGCCTTCTTGGGCCTCAGTTTCCTAATCTCAGAAATGGAAATCATAAAGACTTGTCTCTTTAAGTGTCCGTGAGGGTAAAATGAGCTAAGCTATGAAAAGCTTTTAGTATTGAGTGGTCACTCAAGAAATATACTACATACTCAATAGGAGAGACATACCCTGAAAGAGTTCAAAGGCCTTAGCCTCTCCACATTCAGAAGTTATTGACCCATGGCCAGACACAGTGGCTCACGCCTGTAATCCCAGCACTTTGGGAGGCCAAGACGGGAGGATCTCTGGAGCCCAGGAGCTTGATACCAGCCTGGGCAAAAGAACAAGACCCCATCTCTACAAAAAAGATTAGCTAGGCATGGTGGTATGAACCTGTATTCCCAGCTACTCCAGAGGCAAGAGGATCACTTGAGCCCACGAGTTTGAGGCTACAGTGAGCTATGATCCTGCCACTGCACTCTGGACTGGGCAACATAGTAACCCATCTCCACCAAAAAACAAAAACAAAACATTGTTATTGGTCCTTGCTGGCACCTGATGGGTGCTAACTCCATTTTCACCCACCCACTTGCCCTGCACCTAGCTCTTAGGAACAAGTAAACTTATCCCAAGAAGGCCTCCTTTTCATCCCACTCACAGCCACAGGGACTTCTGTGAAATACAATTTATTATACAAAATAAGGTGTATCAAAATTCAGTGTCAGAAGAGCTCTGTATCCCCAAGTCTAGGGACTGGACCCTCTCCCTTAAAGCCTCCTCACCCACCCCTTGCTAAGGAGTCACGCTGGGCGTACATGCTCCCAGTCTCCAAAGACCCCTCCAGCCCTTGCCCAGAAGAGTGAGAACCAGATTTGGTGCATAAATGTGGGACTAGGGCAGTGTGGGTGAAGCACCATCCCTCCTGCGTGTGGCCACAGGTCACCAACAGTGGGGCATGGGCCTGAACCTCCAAAAACAGGGAGACTTCCCCTAGGAAAAGCTGGACCTTTGTCTGGAGTAGAAACACCCAGATCCCTCTACAACTAAAGCAAGAATGTGGAACCCACCAAACCTGGGGACAGGGAGAAGCTTCCCCAAGAATATCAATTGTAAAATAGAGTCTACAAAAATAAAGCAAGGGTTGACTGCCTCCTGGGGCAGCTGTGTGGGCTGCAACCTTCTGACCTCTACATCCTGGAGAGAATGGAAAAGGCAGCTGAGTGTCAGCACCAAAGGTCGCACCCAGACCTCCCAGCCTCCCCTGTATCTCCTCATGATCTTTGATCTGAGGACCTTCCCCTTCCTCCCAGCCCAGGTGTAGTTTGTAAAACCCACGGGACAGACAGGGAAAATCCCTGGGAATGTGGGAATTGCCCCAAGGCCCGCCCAAAGGACCCCACAGGCTGGAATCTACCTGAGAGTGGCCACAAAAGTTGGCTACAACCAGGGGCTGGTAATGAGGTCTGTGGGCCCTGGGGCTCTTGCATACGGCTGAGGGAAGCAGTGCTTGCAGCGGGGCTAGTGGCAACCTCACACAGCCTGCAGCTCCCCCTGCAGGCGACTCAGCTCCTCTAGCTCCTGCTTGTGGCGGTCTGTCTTGTGTGCCACCAAGGAGCGGTAGAAATGCAAGGCAAAGGCCACGAACACCAGCCCCACGGGTACCATGATCGCTGTGGAGGCCATGGCTGCTTGCCAGCCTGGCCCGGGGGCCTCACCACCACCACACGATTGTCGGGGTGGGCAGGCCTCAGGTGGCTGAGCCTGGGACGGAGCCACGGGAGCAGAGGATGGTGGGAGTTTGGAAGCCGGACTAAGGGAGGCGGCCACTGGTGCCAGAGTACCAGGTACCCTGGAGACTGGTGTGTTCACAGGGGCCCCAATGGGCACAAACTTGACCCAGCCAACCAGGACAACTTCAGCAAGGAAGAGAAAGGTGCCCAAGGCAGTGGAGAAGCCCCAGGCCAGCTCCACGTAGCGGTGGAGTCTCTGGTGGGGCGACTGGTGGACAGAGTTGAGGTTGTGGATATTGCTCACGGCTTCAATGTGGGGCAGCAGACACGTGGAGACCATGAGTGCAAAGAGGTGCACGGCCACCAGCACGGTGGTACAGGCACTAAAAGCCACCAGCAGGCCAGGCGGGTATTCGTAGTCACTCTCTAGCTGTACCTCCACCATGGCCACCTGTGGGAACAAGAGGGGATGGACTGAGTGCCCATAACCTCCTCAGCAGTAGAGGTTTTGTCACCTGTTGGGATACTTTTTTTTTTTTAGTTGAAGTCTTTTTTTTTTTGAGTTGGAGTCTCACTCTGTCACCCAGACTGGAGTGCAGTGGATGCTCCCGGCCACTGCAGCCTCGACCTGCTGGGCTTCGGTGATCCTTCCGCCTCAGCCTTCCGAGTAGCCGGAATTACAGGCATGCGCTACCACGCCCGGCTGACTTTTTGATTTATTGTAGAGATGAGGTCTTGCCAAGTTGCCCAGGCGGGTCTCAAACCCGCAGGCTCAGGCAATCCACTCACCTCAGCCTCTCAAAGCACAGGATTACAGACTGAGCCACCGAGCCCGGCTTGAATTGAAGTCTTACTCTGTTGCCCCGGCTGGTGTACAGTGCCATGATCATGGCTCACTACAGCCTTGACCTCCTGGGCTCAGGCAATCCTTCTGCTTCAGCCTCCCCAGTAGCTAGAACTACAGGTGTGCACCACCATACCTGGCTAATTTTTGATTTTTTTTTTCTTTTCATAGAGATGAGGACTCACTATGTCACTATGTTGCCCAGGCTGGTCTCAAACTCCTGGGTTCAAGCAATCCTCCCACCTCAACCTCTCAAAGTGCTGGGATTACAGGCATGAGCCACTGTGCCTGGCTAGGATACATCATTGATATATTTCTAGGATCTAGATCAGTGCCTGGCAGGAAGAAGACACTCTTTGTTGAGTGAATGGGACAAGACAGCCTTGGCCAGGCTGTCTTGTTCTGGGCCTTGGTTTCCCCACCTGGCTATCAAGACGGCTGAATGACACGTCTGTGACAGGTTTACCTTTTTTTTTGAGTTGGAGTCTCATTCTGTCACCCAGACTGGAGTGTAGTGGCATGCTCCCAGCCACCGCAGCCTCAACCTGCTGGGCTCCAGTGATCCTTCTGCCTCAGCCTTCCAAGTAGCCAGAACTACAGGCGTGTGCTATCCTGCCTGGCTATTTTTTTTTTTTTTTTTGATTTATTGTAGAGACAAGGTCTCACCAAGTTGCCCATGTGGGTCTCGAAACCGCCAACTCAGACAATCCATTCACCTCGGCCTCCCAAAGTGCTGGGATTACAGGCTGAGCCACCGAGCCCAGCCAGGCTTTACCTTGATATAGCATAGGATTTGTTTAAAAACTGATTCTGGAGCTGGGCTGCCTGGGTTCATTCTCAGCTTTACAAGCTGTGTAATCATGAGCAAGTGTCTTAGTTCTCTCTCTGTGCCTCAATTTCCTCTCTGGAAATGGGGATTGATAAGAGCACCTACCTGCTTTATAGGGCTGGTGTCAGGCATATTATATGCACTAGGTAAGTGTGCACCATTGTTATTAGAGTGAATGCTAAAGGCTGATGCCAGAATTTGCAAACTGGCACACCATGAACCACAGCCACTTTGCAGACATGTTTTGCTTGGCTCACACAGTGTGTTTTTTAAAAATGGAATAAGCTGCCAACTTTTAAAATTCAAGGGAGTTCATATACCCCAATTTCCAGATCCTCTTGGAAACTTGGCAGAGCTGGTCACAGTAGGCCCACATTCCTGCACGGCAGTTTCAGCTAGAATTGAGTCATGGCTGGTTCCTTTGGACAAGTCATGGGGTCTCTTGATCGCCAGTCCCTAGCCAGACTGCTCAGCATCCTTACCTGCCTGGCCTTTTGCAAACATCTGAGTTGATGATTCTGTTCTAGGGATGCATAGTTTGGGTCTAGAACCAGACTACTAAGGTTTGAATTCCTCCACTTACTTGCTGTAGGAGGGCCTTGGGTGTCTCAATAGCTCCAGTCCTCCATTTTCTCATCTGTAAAATGGCCACACTAGTGGTTCCCACTTCATAAAGGTGTGCTGAGCATAGTGGCTGGTACTTAATGACAGCCGAATACAATTTTTGTAGAATGTTATTCTAACTCAGGCCATCTGGGTTTCTGAATCCAGATCTTTCCCCATCCTTGATTCTTACAGGATCCATTAGATTGCTCTGGGCCTGCAGGAAGGAAGGTACAGAGCCTGGCGGGTGGAGGTAGAAAAATAAGGCTGAGTATTTTGGGAAATTGGGCCATGGCAGGTGTTTTCCACAGAAAGGGATCTGGGACAGGCTTAGTCCTGGTTTCTCCAGGTGCCTGGGCCAGGCTTGCACTCTCCTACGAGGACGAGGACCAGTCCTGTCCCCAGAAGCTAAACCTCCAGGCTCTTGATCTTGCAGAGAAGGACCTGGCCCTTAAGCTGTCACCCCAGCAACCTGCAAGTCCTGCAGCAGGCTGGTTTGTCTCCTTGGGAACAGGCTGGACCATGGGGTTGACCTCCCGCCACTAGGTGCATGGAGAGTGGCCCCTTTCCCTCCGCAGTCTGTGCAGATGAAGGGGAGCCAACTGCCTGTCCCAAGATGACACCCCCATCAGGAAGTGTGAGGTGGTCTGTCGACTCTGGGACCTCACAGAGAAGATCCTAGGCCTAGGATGACCCTTGGGGTTAGAGACTTTCCCTAATATGGTTCAAATATAGAGGCTGTGGCACAGAGAGAGGCAGGGACTAACCCAAATCCTCTAGTGCTATGATCCCATCTCAGCTGCCTCTGACATCCACCCCACAGGGGCATATTTCCCAAAGTAGCCCTCTAGAACCCTAACAGTCCAGCAACCCTGGGTCCTAGTTCTCTCCACATTCTTTATCTACTGTGCCCTCAGCAGAGCTACTGCCACAGAGGTGTAGGCTTTGGTTTCCACACCTGTCCAATGAGCAGGCTAGTCTCTGGTGTGTGTCTTGCTCTGACATGCTTGGATCTGGGGTTCCTGATGACAGGAGCTCATCCTGGGACAGTTACTTGGCAGGCCACAGAAGGCACGCCCCTTATGATCTCACTATTTCCCACTGGCCTGTGAGGGGGCGGGGACCTGTCCAGGGTCACACAGCCGGCCATAGGCAGGGGGGAGTCAGGACTTGTGTCTGTTGACTCCTCACTTGGGGACCGCCCTCAGGCCCACTTCCTGTGAGGCCACTGTGGGACCGTTGGCTGATATCATCCTCCCACGCGAGAGACAGCAGCTTCCTCATCAGCTTCCTTCCTGCCGGCTTCCTCACAGGCATCACCTCTTGTCCGTTTTCCTGGTTGCCACTACACACTCTCTTCCTTGGAACGGACTCCCCCTCAGCTGAGCGACCTTCCATCCGGTGTCTGGTCCTGGCCTTGCAGATACACCCCTGCCCAGCATTGATTCGCCTCTGACCCTCTACGAGGACTTAGGAAGCGCTTCTCCAGGAATGTGCTCCTCCTAGACCGCTCTGCCCCATCACTGCAGGTTCATCCCCACTGGCGATCTGCGGACCCCTCCCTCCACGACGCCTCTGGGACTTGCTCAGCTTCCCCACGGCCCTCTGTATATTCCTAGGGTCCTGCTTACACACGCGCACGCACACACACACATCCATAAAAAGGGTCTTGCCCAGTCCCCTGGGACCGCGTCTGCAGCCCCTTAGACCCCATTTTCCCCTTCCTCTGCCTGGTCTCCCTTGGGGACCTGGTGGCTTCGCCCACGACCCCGTGCCCCCACGTGCGTCACCCCCGCCCTGTGCGCCCCTTCCCGCCCCTCACCATGGCGAAGCCCGAGAGCAGGGCAGACGTGCGGCTGGAGGCTTTGAGCTTGGCCCGGCTGAGGTAGAGGCGGCGCCAGCTGAGCGCCCGCAGCGAGTGCTGACTGGCCCCCATGAGGTCCAGGTACCCGCGGTGCACGAACTCTCGGTACGTGGCCGAGCCCGCGGGGCTCTCGGGCTCCGGGTTCAGCGGGGCCTGCTCGCCCGCGTCCCCCTCGCCGCCCTTCATCCTGGG